AGTCCACGCTCCACGCTCACACTCCACACTTTGCACTCTACACTTTACACTCTACACTCCACACTCCACACTCTACACTTTACACACTCTACACTGATAACTTGCACGAGCTTAGCCGCTCCGGGTGATATGCGTGCACAAAGTTTATTTGATATGTTCCAATAAAACAGCGGCCAGAATATGTAATTTCAGGTCCCAGCGGAGTAGCTACAAGTGCCCTCAGCCTCAGATCCTTTACCAGTTCACTCTTGAGGCCCCTCAATCAGCAGACGGCCATGTGTATGCGTTAATTAACTAATGCAACCTAATTTGCAACATGCAATCGAACGTGTTGAACGACCTGGCGGAAGCCATGAAGGCGTTGGACAGAAACTTTTTCTTAAAAAGATCAAGTAAAGATAATGGAAAAGATGAAAACTCATTCCTTTTCAAAAAATGAAAAACAATAAGTTGACAATAAAGAAGAAACAACAAAATGAAACCATATGAGTTTGGAGCGAGTTTGGAGTAAGTCTGGAGAGAGTTTGAACAACCTCCAAACTTACTCCAAACTCATTCCTCTCTTCCCAAAAAATGTTTAAGATGACAATAAAGGGAAAACACACAGAAAAAAATAATAATGATTTGAGTTTGGGGTGAGTTTGGAGAATCCCCAAACTCACTCCAAACTCATTCCCCTTTTCCCACAAAAGTAAAATAAATAATAAATAGAAAAGAACAAATAAAACATAACTAGACGACGGATGGCCCGAGAGCGTAGAGGAGCAGGGTCTTCTCTTGTTAGTATGGAGACGCAATTTTAGAAACGATGTTTGAAAGATGTGTTATAGGCAGTCGAGAAGAGGAGTATCAAGACCAAATAGTGAGAAGCTTTTACACACAGTAGCTTTTACACAGACACTTTTACACAGAAAGCTTTTACCCACAGAAGCTTTTACATACAGAAGCTTTTACACAGACACGTTTACGCACAGATACGTTTACACACAGACACTTTTACACACAGACCCTTTTACACACAGGAGTTGCTTTTACACACAAATGCTTGTACACACAGAAGCTTTTACACATAGACGCTTTTACACACAGGCACTTTTACACACAAACACTTTTACACAGAAACACTTTTACACACAGACGCTTTTACACGCAGACGCTTTTACACACAGAGGCTTTTACACACAGAGGCTTTTACACACAAACACTTTTACACACAAACACTTTTACACACAGACGCTTTTACACACAGACGCTTTTACACACAGACGCTTTGACACACAGACGCTTTTACACGGACACTTTTACACACAGACATGTTTACACACAGACACTTTTACACACAGACCTTTTTACAGACAGGAGCTGCTTTTACACACAAACGCTTTGACACACAGAAGCTTTTACACATAGACGCTTTTACACGCAGGCACTTTTACACACAAACACTTTTACACACAAACACTTTTACACACAAACACTTTTACACACAGACGCTTTTACACGCAGACGCTTGTGCGCACAGAAGCTTTTACACACAAACACTTTTACGCAGAAACACTTTGACACACAGACGCTTTTACACACAGACGGCTTTACACACAAGCGCTTTTACACACAATCACTTGTACACACAGACGCTTTTACACAGAGGCCGGCCCAGGTAGTCACAGCGAAGTCATCGTTGTCGTGGCGACCTCAGCAATCCGACGGGGTGGTGTGGCGAAGTCCTATTTCCATGTGCCTCGAAACCAGCATGTATAAACAGTCATGCGGGCTATGTGCTTTGGGACCCCCCAACCAAGGTGGTTTGCCATCTCCTGAAAAAAAAGTATAAACGGGCGGACCTGGCAGGCAGCGACCGTTTCTGGGCTGGGACACGCACAGTATTACAATATGATAGAAGTTGGTTCTTTATGGGTTTAGGGTCCTGACTCCTGACTGTGACTGGAATGGAAACTCTTGTCTTAACACTCATACATCCATCTCCAAATATTAAAAGTCATACATCCATCTTTATATCATATCTCTATCTCAATATAAAATATATCGATTTGTTTCATGACACAGAGACTTTTACACACAGACGCTTTTACACACAGAGACTTTTACACACAGACGCTTTTTACACACAGGCGCTTTTACACACAGAAAAATCGCACTTTTACCTCAGTTTTTGCCGATCGACCCTCATTTCGCGCGAAAGGGTGGTTGTTTTTTTTTCCTCCGATTTGGCCGATCGCACTAGGCACGGTCCTTACAATTGCGTAAGCGGTGAAAAGCAGTAAAGTATAGGACACGTGTGGTCCAAAAACTCTGGCAAATCATCACGAGGAACAAACCAAACAAAACAAAAACGCAACCAAAAACGACCCGCAAATCCCCCAGCCAGATTTGCGTTTCGCCACAAAGCAAAACAGCGAAGCAACAAAGAACGGGGCCTAGGGACCCCTTAGGGTATGTGGGGGGGGACCTTTCCATTTTCCTTTTTAAGGTGGGGTTGCCTACTCCTGTCCAATCCTGATCCTGGCTTTGGAGACCAAGAATGCCTAAACAAGCCTAAACAGTGCATCGCGCCATTTTATAGGGTGCACAGCCGCATGGTCAGGGCAGGGTTTTACCTGGGACTGGAAAGCTTTCTCAGGCTTCAACCTGGCACTGCGGTGGATAATAAGCACCTTTGGTGCCATCCATATATCAATATCCCCACTTCATGTTGCGTACCGTGTCTCAACACTTGGGACCTTCCAAAAAGCCATATCCAGGCCTCATCCAAAAAAATCCAAAGGATCAAACATGGACATCCCAGTTGAAGTAGCGGAGATACCTGACCGATCCACTTCAGATTTCTTCTTCCCTCTGAAGTGAACGCCATTGGTCACGTCGATACCTGCGGCTTGCCAAATGTTTCAAAACATCGTTACAAATCTTGGATTTTTCAGGCAAGTTTTGTGAGTGATCGATATTTGGAGTGCCAATGGGCGCCAACACCAGGAACTTTTGGTTTTGGGGTGTGTTTCTTGTCTTCAAAACTGGAATCTTAAAAAATAATGGACTACAGTAATATATATATGAACAACATCCCAATCTGATCCCAACTGGATTTGATGGACACATTTATCAACTGGATTCCCGGGAAAACATCAGTTGCCATGATGAAGAAAAGAATGTATAACGTTTCCACGGCTCTGAGCAGCGCGCGGACCATTTCTTTACCCCGCGGTTGCATCTGCTTCCCCCAGACACTTATACCCGTAAGAAAAGACACGTGGGAATATCTGCCTCCAGCGAAATGTTTTAGTGAATGTGTAGAACTGGGCTGCTAACCAAACCCAACGGTTTACCAAGCTTCATTGATTCATTGGTTGAGCTGAATTCCCAGCGTGTTCAGCCAGACTCTGGCCAGACTGTTGCCGGCCATGGCTACATGGTAAAACCCAGAAAGACCTGACTGCACCCAGACTGAAATGACTATCTTTTTTTCGGCAAGGCTTTTTGGAATGGCTATGCATGCATGTGTAGGTTTGTTCACGCCCGGTCACGTCTCAAATCCGCCCTGTCTACGCCTATAGGCCCTGATGAGGGGCAAAAGTTCAAAGCACCAATCACTGACCGATCAGCATCTGCATCATTCGCAATCACCACGCATCTTTCGCCATCCTGTCTACAAGGTTGGAGAACTGGACATGATTGGTGATATTGGCACTGAAACCATGTGCTACTATCTCGTTGCTACAGAGATGGAACCACCTTTCCAAGAAACACTTGTGACAATATGGCTGCCATGGTCACATGTTTCAAAGACTTTTGAGTTCAGTTTTGGCTGGGCCAGTGAGCATGAAGGATGGACTACTCAGCACAGTGGAACCTGGACCCAAGACTACTGAACCATCATCCGCTCGATGTCATCATCTAAGCGAGTAGGCCCAAAGTTCTGTCTCAATTTCCATTTCCCTATCAAAACCATAGTTTATAGCACCAGCAAAGGAATATCAAACCATCTCATTAGCCAGCCGCCGCCAATCCATACCCCTCATACGCCTGAGATGACTTCTGGCCACTTTCTCTCATGAGTTCAATGCATTCCAAGGTTTTGCTGCCTGAGTTCTGTCTCGCAAAAAATCGGTATTGTCAAAAAGCGAGAACTCAATGAAACCGCAAAAACAAACCGTTTTCAAAATGTGGCAGCCTACAGTGTTGCACCAGGTTTCCCTATGGTTCGCTCTATTTTTGAAACATTTTTGTGGTGAACCCATGGTTGAAAAATGTTGCAAAAGCAAGTCGCTCAACGGTACCAGATCTCCCCCGGAGCTGAACAGAGATCCAATAGCAAATCGCCGGCTTGCACCTGGGGTTATGGTTTTGATCTGCCAAGTTGTTTGCTGTTGTGGCTGTTTCGGGGGCCCAAAAAAAACAAATTTGGAGGAGCAAACGGGTAGATCAAAAGCTATACAAGCTGTTTTTTCGTCATGTAATATCTATATATAAAATATATGTGAAGATTGTCTTGATGAACATATTCGCCACGCCCGCCTATGAAGACCCAGCGCCCATCAACAAGGGCGGCGCTGCAATGTCGATGTCGGTCAGCAGCCGGAGACTGAGCAAGACTGGAAAGTGAGTGTTGTGGCCCGGAAAGCTCTAAACTCAATGGAAATCAGCAGGGTTCCATCCTTGAGGGCTATATACAAGCTGTATAACTTCGAGGACGTGAGATATTTGAAGATAACACTTCATAACATAAAGCTTATGGCGTCTGCTTGCTTTGGAGTCCATCGGTTCAAATCTAGCTCTTCCAAATGCACCCAACAAATAAAAACACGCAAAAGAACCAGAGCCATCAGAACCCGAGCAAGGATGTAGCCAGGATGTAGCTAATGCAAAACTTCTGGGAATCGGAAATGGTGAATACATAAAATTCAACAAACGGTGCAAAGCATCAAGCCTCTTTGCAATGCATGTCCACGGTTTCTCAGCTGAATATCTCTGCCTAACAAATAGATTCAGACGAGCAACAACTTTTCAAAGCGAGAGGCTTGACTGGCAGGAGATGGAGACGGGAGGCAAGCGCGAAGCCGTTGCAGGACCCATGTGCCATACTCGAGCTTATCCGCGCTCGTTTTTTTGGTCCGCCACTCGAGCGCAAAGAAGCCAGAAGCCCGCAGGACTAGGTGTGTGAACAAGGGTTTGCCAGCCAATGCCTTCACCCGCCCCTCCTTGTCTACAAGCGAGGCCCCTGCTTCTTCATGGAGTTTTTTCAAATCGCCCAAGAAATTCTCCAGGTTGCTTCGCCCCTTGACACTGTTGCTGAAAGAATCCGTGGTGTAAATCGGTCTTGGGCCAAGCCTGCTGTCAATGGCCGCAATGGGAGCTTCACGCATCTCCCGCACCACCTGCCAGGCTTCAAGTGCCATCTCCACCTTCAACCTGACCAATGCTTTCGCTCGCTCAACAATTTTCAACAAAGGCCATGTCTTCAAATTGGCGGAAGAACTCATGCAAAACAAATCAGAATAATGATGCAAAAGAAATCAGAATAATGCTGTCCAGCAACTTGCTGTCGGTTTCCGAAATTGTCAATGCATTTTGGGACATCTGTCCAACCACCAGAAAATCCTCATCGTGTGGATCCAGGGACATGGCGTAGCTCACGCAGGAGGCTTCCAACAAGACAACGTTGCCACACTTTCGAGGCTGCAGCAAGACCACATGCACACGAGCCGTGCAATCTGCGGGTATGGGTGAAGCAGACAGTTTTGGCCGAAATGTAGTGGCACCTTGAGCCGGAGTGTGCTTACGAAACAAGGCGCCCCGGAAAACAGAGGTGACCAGCGCCAAGTAGATGTGGCCGTGGCGGCTGTTGCGTACGAGCACGATCTGATACTGTCTGCTGCCATTGCTTTCAAATCTCCAACCACATGGAACGAATTCCTTGACCGTGTGGACCACAGCATCAGAAGCGCCCTCTTTGCTGTCCTTGTTGTTGAATTTTTGGAGTATCTTGCTCTGGTGATCCATCCACAGGCTTGCCCTTGACTGTCGACCGGTCTGTTGCTGGAAGGCCTGTCGAGCCAAGGCTACCGCATGCATGCGCTGGTTGTGTTGGCTCAATTGCGGAGTATTGCCGTTGATTTGGGTTCGGCTCAGCTCACCTTCACAGATTCGCATCTGGTTGCACAAATCAATGACTTTTGGACGCAACGCAATTGCTCTCTGCAAAATCACATCTTGGCTGTCGGCTAGTCTGGAGCCACCTGCCAATCCAGCCTCTTGAAGAATGCCCGCCAAAGTCTTGTTCGATGCGGCCACCGGTTTTTCCATTGCATCATTGATGCCATTGTTGGAGTCAGCCAAAATAGCTGCAACAGGAGGCCCGTGATCAACACCATCTCGAAAACCTTTGACCAACTCGGCAACTTCGTGGTGGATGTTTTTGCTTTGCCTTGCGTCCTGCAGCAGCCCCTGCAACTGACCTACTTCTCTCTTCTCTGAAGCCTCATGTTCCTGACCTTCATGCTCTGACAGGCCTTCCCATTCATCTGTCTCCTGCCACCATTTTTCTGAACAATTCTTGGGCCAGAGACGCCTTTGGCCTTCTTCTTGCCAGAATGCCTGCAACTCGGCGGCAACTTCGGCTGAAGTATGAAAGCTCAGAAGGCTCACGAGCCTCAAGTGAAAACACGCCATTTGATGACTTTGAGGCAAACAAACATTCAAGGGGGCAGGTCAAGCCCGGGGAAGCCCAGTTCAGTTTCATGGGTTTGTCCCCGTTTAGCGCCAGTTTGCTGCTGGGGTTTTAACCCTGTGGAAAGAGCTGCCATTTTGTAGCATGCAAACATCAGAGGAATGAGCTGGAACAGTATCTGCAGGAGACATGATATACAAACAGAAACAGGAAATAACATGGAGACATCATGGGCAAGATCGCAAGGGGAACCTCCTTTTTCGGTACCCTCTATACAAAGAGAAAAACGGCTATGAAAAGGATATGGGCCGGATATAGGCTATAGGCTAAATCTTTTCTTGCTTCAAAAGGAACGTGTGGATATGGAAGGTATATGCACCCAAACCACGAGCCGACAGTAAGCAGATCTGACCAACAGCAGCCAAATAAAGCAATAAAATTATGAATCGTACAAGGACGAGCAGCGCGCAAGCAGATTCAAACGCTTGCTCGCCAAACATGGCAATCTCTGCAGTAGAAAACTTCCGGGGCTGTGTGGTCGAAGGCGGGGGAACACTGTGCACGGCTGCATTCGCTTGGCGCACGTGGCACATGTTTGCGCTGACCAATCCCTGAGCAATGGTCGGCGTGCCGTGCCAAGGAGCTTTGAGTTGACCGAATCTTTGTTCTGCAGAATCTTCCATGCAATTCCTGAGAGACCACGCCATATCACCATCCACAAGCCTGGAAAATGGCCAAGGATCTTGAAAAGGTGAAATGTTGAAGCCACGTAAGCTTACACCAAATCTTTTTTGGGAACAGGCTGGGAACAGGGTGTG